AAAAAAAAAAAAATTGTAGTATTTGAGCTGAGCATCGTGACTCACACCTGTAATCCTAGCACTCTGGGAGACAGAGGCAGGAGGATCCTTTGAGCTCAGAAGTTTGAGACCAGCCTGAACAAGAGCAAGACCCCATCTCCACTAAAAATACAAAAATTATCTGGGCATGATGGCAGGCACCTGTAGTCCCAGCTACTCAGGAGTCTGAGGCAAGAGGATCATTTGAGCTCAAGAGTTTGAGGTTGCTGTGTGCTAGGCTAACACCATGGCACTTTCCCAGGGAAACAGACTAAGACTCTGTCTCAAAAAAAAAAAAAAAAATTCTAATACTCAATATATACTGATAACAAAAGATGAACACAGGTGAGATTGAGCACCTCTTATAAATGCAGAAGTCAAACATGACGTCAGTATTACAAATTTAATACAGATTTTCCTTTCTTAAAATGTATATACATTTTTTGGTACCCTCTATATACAAGAAAGCTGAACAACTGGCAGAGGCTCACACAGATGACAAGTGGCAGAGCTAACTCTTGCATCCAGGTAGTCTGGCTCCAGAACCTTACTTTTAGCCACTGTGCCACATGTTGCCTTTCATAATTGGGACATGTTTTTGACACCTGCTTCTCTGATAAGGTTCCAGTCATTAAGTTAATTCTGTCCATTCTCTGTTGCAGGCTCCTGCTTTTGCCTGCATAAGGTCATTTTCTCCTCCTTCAGGAAATGGCACCCTGATTTTCCTTTGAAGGTTCTCCTTCTTCCTCGTCAGCCTATCTGTCTGCTTGAGGCAGGATGACCTTACTGTGGCCAGCAAGAATACCACATCCCTCTGGTCACCATAATTGGTTCATGGGTCTTCTTTGAATATGATGCTGGATAGTCAATTACATAGTAGGAAAAAAAAATGAATCCTGAGCACCAGTAGCTCCATCTATAAGCTAAGAGGAATGATAAAGTCTGAAGCAATTCATGAAGAAAAAAATGAATCTTGACTTTCTATCTCACGCTGTGCATTAAAGTTAGTTCTAGCCAGATTGTAGCTCTCAATATGGAAAGTAAAATAAAACTATTAGAATAAAATATAAGAGAATATGTTCTCAGGTTAGACAAAGATTTCTTAAACAAGACACAAAAACCACTAACCCTAAAGAAAAAAATTAAGAACTTCTACATATTGAAAGACACTATTTAAGCGAGACACAGTGGCTCATGCCTATAGTCGTAGCACTTTGAAAGTCCAAGGCAGGATGATCACTTGAGGCCAGGAGTTTAAGACAAACCTGAGCAACTCCCATCTCTACATTAAAATGTTTAAAAATTATCCCTCTGTGGTGGCACACACCTGTTGCCCTAGCTACTTGGGAGGCTAACCTAGGAAGATCACTTAAACCCACTGAAACCCCATCTCAAAAAAAAAAAAAAAGACACCACTTAGAGAACCTAAGGCAAACCATAGAATGTATTTGCGAGACATGTGTTTGAAAAAGGACATATGTGGCTTGGCACCTGTAGCTCAGCAGCTAGGGTGCCAACCACAGGTTCGAATCCAGCCCGGGCCTGTGAAACAACAATGGCAGGGCGTTGTGATGGGTGCCTGTAGTCCCAGCTCCTTGAGAGGCTGAGGCAAGAGGATCACTTAATCCCAAGAATTTGAGCTTGTTGTGAGCCATGACGCCATAGCACTCTACCCAGGGGGACAGCTTGAGACTCTGTCTCAAAAAAAAGAAAAACAGAAAAAGAACCTATGGTCAGAGCAGTTTTTTTTAACTTTTACAAATCCATAAGAAAAAAAAAGAGAGTAACATCCTCAAATAGGCACTTCTGGTTTGGTGCCTGTGGCTCAAGCGGCTAAGGTGCCAGCCACATACACCTAAGGTGGCGGGTTTGAGTCCCCAGCCCGGGCCCGCCAAACAACAATGATGGCTGCAACCAAAAAAATGGCCAGGCGCTGTGGCGGGCGCCTGTAGTCCCAGCTACTTGGGAGGCTGAGGCAGGAGACCCGCTTGAGCCCAGGAGTTG